ATAGGCGACGCAAGACAAAGAGACCAAGGCACATGCAGCGACAAACACGTATATTTCTATTTTATTTACAAATGTATTGTACAAATGATCGCAGCCGGTCGGAACACCGCTGTGTCTCGATAAAAATAAACTTAACGTACCCGCGAGAGGCTCGTCGCACGCGTTTCGACCGGTACCGCCGCGGCCGGCCTCGCCGGAAATGGAATTTTTTATGTGATGCGGGATTCGATTGATTGAAGTCTTTCGATGCAGGCGTCTGTTAAGTACTAGACAAAGTTTGTGCGGTTTTTTGTCAGCGATCGATTACAAGCGAATTTTCGTTAAACAATGTTACAACGTCGAATTGACACTAGAACTACCACACCCGGCAAGATGACCGGTTTCAGTTTTCTTATTTCGCAACTACCGAAACCTTAAAAGTGTTAAATACTGTAATTAATTTAAAAAATAAATACTTTCGCTTGAATATTATAATGAATATATGAAAAAGTTGAAACAAATTTGTTGGTAGAATTTTTATAAGGATTACATATTAATAGTGTTAAACGTTCGGCAGTTCTAGTATTAATGATCATATGTGGTACACAGTTTAATTTTTCATGAAATAATCTGATTTTTTTAGCTTTTTCATTTTTTAGTGTTCATTTCAACAAGTTTGTTGTGCTTTCAATTTATGTATGCATTGTAGACTTTTGATGAAATTTTATGAAATGGTTTAATAAAAGTAATATAATTATCTTTTTCATAAATAAAATAATTGAGTTCTTTCGGAATAAACTGAATGATTTTTAATGAATGAAGTAAAAATTACTTCTTGACGATAAAAGTGTTTACTTGGATGAAATTTATGGAGTACTTAGGAGATAGACGCGTTCGCTACGGTCATATTGTTTGAGAAACTTTAATTACGGATCGTACTCGAGTTCTAATATCCTTTTCAGGGAAATGTATGTTTCTCCTTAATTAAGCGTTGAAGAATATAAAATAAATATTTTAAATAAATTGAATGAATACTATAAAATACACTTCAATTTTAATTAATTGAGCATGTGGATTTTGTTTGGTTCCTTAATTTAAGTTTTAAAATTATAATTTCATTAAAAATTGGTGCGTCACATGCTACGAAGTTGGTAATGAAATATTTTGAAAAATATAATGTAGTTTGTGTACAGGAATATGCAGATTATTAAATCCGCGGTATGGTATGTAAGATACCAGAAACAAGATCTGTTTACGAGTGATATCTTAAAAGTGAATAAACACATCATTAAAAAATTAATTAAGTTTCTAAACGACGCTATGTTAAATAGTAAAATATTAAAGTACAATCAAGATTATCCAAAATATTAATCAGTTATTTGAATCAACGAAAATATGTACAAAAAAGAATGAAAAAAAGCAAATACTTCACATAACTGTTGATGATTATTTTGAAGAAAAAGCTATATTACGAAAAAAAAAGAATGAAGTAGAAAAGTAATTAATTCTTTCATAATTCGTTCTAAGAAAGTAGTTAGCAAATTTCACAGAAACATGAAAATTAAAAAAAATATTTCCTTCTTTCTAATTGTTTTGTAATTTTTTTTAAAATTTGATAAATTGTAAAAAGGACAATGTTAGAAACTGACAATTAACACATATCCGTAACAGCATTGAATATTTAACTGTAAATGTTCTATACAAGTTTGACTTTAAATCTTTGAAAGAAAATAGCAAAGTTCGAAATCGACTGTCGAACAATCTGTACACTGCAAAACCGCACGAACTTCTTCCGGTACCTAATACGACGCGACAATGCTCGCAATTGCGACTAAAATTCCGTACCGCGATAGATTCTCCTCTTCGTGTTGTGAAATAAAAGCAATGCCGAAATTTGCAGAAGGTGTAACGCGTGCAGCTAATCAAAGTCCGCTCCGTACAACGGTGCTGAACTCGTTCCTACGCACTTGCAACTCGATCTTCAGCCACGTGTTCACCAATGAACCGAAGTTCAACTTTCCAATCGATTCCCGGAAGAAAAGAAAATTATATATAATTTATAAAACAATATAATATATAAATTATATAAAACAACAGTAAAATGAAACTTCTTGGAACATTTTATGATCTAAGTAAAATTTGAAAAAGTAGATTTCAAACTTTCAGAGCCATTCTCATTCGAGGGTGATCACCCTGGAACGTTCTAAAGCCTCTAAAAAAAAAACATCAAAAGTTTTTCTCGTCATTCCTTCGGTGAACACCTAGCTGGGTCGTTCATCGGTATTGCATTCGAAAAGGAAATCGAGTTCGAAATAACAGCGCAACACACAGCCATGCACTTGTGCCTAGAGTTTCAGTCTTTTGCGAGTGCGTCGCAAAAAAAATGTACACAAGCAAACCAATTACGTGAAGAAGAAAAAAATAAAAAAGGGTTGAACAAGCGTTCGTACTAAACGGTAGTTTCCAATACCTCTCGACTGATGATCGGCTGCGTCGACGAGATGCAGGGTGCGTTTGTGACGAGGGTCGGGACAACGCTGCTGCTATTCCCGGTATTGTCAGTTGCGATCGCGCCCGCAGCCGTCGGTGTGGGTGTCAGGTTAGTCGATGCAGTGTCGGACGCGATGCCAGAGGACCAGGTCGAAGGATTACCAGATGGGCCCATCAGCGGCGAGTTGTTGCTCGATAGAACGCTGTCGGCCGAGCTCGAGGTTCGTCTTCTCATCGACTCCTCGCTGGACGATTTCAAGAGTTCCTTTTCACGTTCCTCGTCCCTAAACAGACCATCGGACAGTTTATAGTGGGACACGAAATAAGGACCATTAGAAAAATCGAAAAATAGATGCTCGCTGTTGAAGGTAAAATCGTTTGGGACCAGGGTCTGTGCTTCTTTGCGTGGTCTTATCGATTTTAACACAGAGACTGCTGATTTAGGATTAAAGAACGGTTAATATATAAATCTGTGTGAAGAATTGTGACATTTTAAGTTGAAGTGATATAGCAGTCAACGTGTCAATTATTGTCATCTGAAGTGTGATCACACAGGAACGCCAATGCATATTTCTTTTGTTACTAATTGTTGTAATTATTTTCTAGGGTAGAAATTTCAAAACATAAATATTTTTAATGAATGATATTTCTAATTCTTGATAGCATTAGGTTTGAAAATGAACAAAATGAAGTAGAGTAACGATACAAAAGTCCTGGGACCTTTCAGGAATTGTGCATGTTAAAGTATGTTGATCGTTTCACCTTTGTATGTTATGAGGTAACCCCTTGCTCTATAATTTCTTTCACGATTGTTCTTGCTGGAACTACTTTATCGTAAATAATTTACTACATAAAAACATAAGTCCGTACATGGTTCTATGTTTACGTTTACTTCAAAGGTTAACGATTGATAACAAAAATAATATTTATTTTGAAACGTACGTCACGAGCTTGACACGACATTATAAGGTAAGGGGTTGACCTTTCAGCATTTCGATGAAATTTAATTTAATCTTGTGTACAGGATATTTTGAAAGCGTAGATACGAAATGTACAGGTCGATAGTACTTATTGAAAAAAATTACAACGAAAGTTTTACCGAAAACGTATGTCCAATAATTAATTGTTTCAGAGATGAGTCAGGTAATTTGTAGGTAATTCAGAGGTATTCCACGGCATCCTTAGTAATTAAAAGTGATTAAAATCCCAGTTACTATTTTAGACATCGTTAAATGCTGACGCAAGGGGAACTTATACTGTCCTCGAAAATATGGAATATTACGGATTCGTATCTAAACTTCCTACAATTAATTGGAGAAAGAGTGAAGGGCCAGAGAAAAAGACAAATCATTCCAAACAGCGAGCAACTAAGTTACGATGGAACTAGTAACTACTATTGCTCCACCTAAAATCTAGACAAAGCTCCTGAACAGCTGAAAGAACTCAAGTTCTGTTGTGGAACTCGCGTAACACCGCATGGTTATGAATGCGATAAACATTAAAAAGCATTCTCGACGAATATAATTGGCCATTGCGAGTGATTAAATCGCACTTACTTTATCTTGATCATAATATATTTATCGGGAATAAGGCCCTCTCTACCAGCCAAGGCACCTCGCCACCAGTCATTACTGACTTGCGTGTATAGAGTCAAGGTATCCCCCTTTTTGAAGCTTAACTCTCTTTCGGACCTTGCATTGAAATCGAATTGCGCTGTGGCTTCAAGGTTTTCCGATTCTGGGAATACACAAAAGGAACGTAGATCGGGCACTGTCGGATTCCGAAGGTGCAGCACAAACTGATTTCTCACTCACCATCCTCGGACGGGTACACCTCCGAATCCATGTCTTCCTGGACCTGATCCGTCGGTGAGTCGCCTACATCTCTGTAAAACGACAGAAAAAAGAAAATTATTCTAGCTGCTGACCTTTCTAGCCAGAAAACAATCGGACAAATTGTCTGCCTACACTAAGCTACACTTACGCGTCGTCCGGTTCTCTACTGATGTACTTTTCGTACTGAGTACCTCCAATGTCCTCCGGAAATATCTCTTCGCAGAATGTGATAATGTTTTTGATAAGTTCGTTCACTTGGTTCTGATACTGTACTTGGTCCTTGTCCTCCGGCACGGGCACTAACGTAGGTCCAAAACAGATCGCCAGATTGTAAGGATCCATCATATTCTCATCCGAGAATTCGGAAAGGCTGTTTGCGTGAAATATTATTTCATTAAATTTTCTTTATGGAAAAAATATTACTGGAAGCACCGCCGAACATCATAAAAAAGAAATAATTAGAGGTACAAGCTGCAGCTTGTTTCGATAAAAGAAGATACTTACTGATTTAGAAAGGCGAATAGATATCGCATTACAATGACAACCGGTCTTGGAAGACTCGAAATCAATTCCTTCATTTTGTTGACGAATTCTTGTTTCGATTCTAGCTGCGCCAATTCCATGAGGTGCTCGAAGTAAATGATAGGGAACAGTGGCTCCCTAAGCTCTCGTAGATAGAGCTTCAACACGCCGGCCACGCTGTTTATGTCCGACGCGTCGGTTACATCCGCCAGCGGGTCCTCTCCTCTCTCGAACCATTCGCGGAAATTGTTAATTTCCACTTGAGACCCGGAGACCCGGAAGATACCTTGATGATGAAGGCCGTACAGATTGATTACTCTGATGCAACTCTTCATGATCAATGGTATCTCCTGATTCGTGCTCTCCAAGTACTCTTCCAACGAACCGCCGAACAACTTTGGCTGTCCGTTCATTTGCAACCGGCCGATACGCTTTCGGCGGGCTTGCTTCTGCTTCGTGGTCGACAGCGACGGATTCGGACTTGCCGTTGAGCCGTCTAACAAACTCTGTCTAATGTATTCTTGTTTCGCATCTAGTCTAGCTATTCTGGAGGTGCCAAGCAGGTATTCCCTGAATTTCTAGAAAATTACAACGAAACACATGCGTTTTGTTTTTTTCTATACAAGATTAAAAATTGTTAACTATATTGTTAATTATATTTTTAATAAAATTTAGGTTGAAATTTATTTTGTATTTAATTTCATGTATCTATGTTTCAATTCAGTAGATTGTTGTCTCAAGTTCTTTATGTTCTTAGAACTTTTAATAAAATACTGAAATACGCAAATATCTTTTGTAGTGTACTAATAATTATTTAAGTTGACACGTTTCTCATGGAAAAAGTAGCTAACTCACCGTGAGGTAGAATTCTTCAGTTTCTTGCCTGTCGGCTCTAAGCTTTATTTGCAAGGTTTCTGGAGGCCTCGACGTAGGTACTGCGTTCTCTCCGAAATACCTTGAGCAGTCGTAGTCTTTCGCTGTTAACATTTCCAAGAGACTAGCTTCTGCTGTTTCTAAAGTTTTCCAAACTTCCTCGGACTCCGTTCGCAAAGACGTTACCCTCTGCTGCAACTGTGTCAATCGTTGCTCCATCTCAGCGTGCAACAATTTTTGCAATTCAGGCTCTGGCGTCTGCGAAGCGTCGAACACCGTTAATGCCCCATATTATTGAAGGATACTAACTTTTTCTCGTTTACGTATTAACGTCCAAAATTGTTCGGCTTAATCCTGACTTGTATATTTATAATACCTGTATACCAACTCCGCTCGTGTCATTAACTTATTTCAAGCATCTCAACAATTACCGTGTAAGATATAATAATACATTTAACGTTGTCAATTTAATAAAACATTCAATTTGTTATACTAATTACTTTTCCGTGATATATACGTACAGCTGAGCAAAAGTAAGAGACTAGAATTCATAATTAATGAAAGAAGATAATATTATCTTGTGATATAATAAAACTTGCGAAATCAATAGTTACCAAAATTATTTCTGTTTCACTTTGGTAAATAATTTGCGTTACACTTTAACAATATTTCCTTCCACAGGTAACAGAAATACTTGGTCTCATACTTCTGTCAGTTAGTACATATAAACACTCATTGTAAATAAAAGGTTAAAAGCCCTATTCAGATCTTTTGTTCAAAAAGGAAAATATCTGTTTCAGCTTCTTCTAATAGATCACGATAAGCCCGGGTGTATTTGGATCTTATTACGTATGAACTTGGGACTTCGTGGGTTTCAGAGAGTTTACTTCATCTCCTCGTTGCCCTTGGAACTCGAACTTCTTCGGGATCATGAAAGCTGAATGATGAGATTCCAGGAATCTCTGTTTGTCCGCTCTGGAGTCTAGAGCACCAACGCAGGCAGCCAGCTGTTCGGCGCCGGACTGCAACGAGCGTTGTCTGCCCTCTTCCGCGCTACAGTGCATCAGCAATGCACGAGCGATACAATTGTGAAAACCGAAATCCATGCACTGAAACATTTAGATCAAGTGATCATCTTATTCGTGTCTCGTTAACCTGTTGCCAGCTGAACCGCTCGACGGTAGTTGGTGACCCAGTCATTAGCGGGTAGTAGGTCACCCGCACGCCATCGAGAAGCCAGTTCAATGCACTTTTAAGGCTCGCAAACTGGTATAGTAAGTGCGATTTCTCCGATAAACCAAACGTGTCAGTGGTTTGTGAAATATAATTTACCCTCAACAGAAACGGTACAGCGTGATCGTAAGTATGATCTGTAATTACTGAATTTTATTCATGCATGAACGGTCAATGACGCGAATTTACGTCAGCTATCTTCTCATTTTTGGATTGGCATTTTCCTTCTGATTTTTAATAAAAGCTAGCTTATTTTTAATAAAACCTTCTAGCTTTAAGATTTCTTTGTTTCCATTGACTTTCAGATAGAGAAAAGTGAAAATGTTACCGGCCGCGAATGTATTAATGACACGAATCATGAAACTATTTACACACACCATTCTGTGTTGATGCTTCAATAAATATCATACTGGTGGTTTATTTTCTTTTCAATTTACTTTACTTTGAATGAACGAATTTCTGTTGTTGGTGAACATTGAAATATTTGACTATCAGTTATTTAAATCCTAAGAAATATTAGAAAATAAAATAATTAGTTAAATAATTTTAAGGCTTCAACTTTACTTTTTGGGAAAGGAAAAAATGTGTTGAATGGTGAATTTAAAAATGCAAAATTAAATTAAACGAAAAACTACAACCATGTTAGTATCAATTCATAAGCATACATACAAATAATGCAAGAACCTGTTTAAATACCATAACATTCTGTTTAAAAATTTTCTTTCAAATAATTATAAAAGTTTGCTACTCTTACACCAAAGTGATCAAGATAAATAGAATTCAATGAAAATAAAGAAAAATTTTCGCTCTAAAAAGGATGGAAATTCACATTCCTATGGCTTTGAGCAAGGCCCAAGACCTTCCGCAGCCTCGCTTTCGTCACTTCTTTTGTCCCAGTGGCCGAAACACGGGCGCTTCAGCGCTGGATCGATTCCACGGCCAATGCTATATCTCTTCCATCAAGGGCACACATCTTAGCGCAACTTACGTCGATGAGATCCGACAGATCGTCCACGAAGTACTTGTGTATCGTCGTATTTGAGGCCTCTAGACACAAAATGTAGTCGTTTCTCGCTTTCAACGCTTTCAGCTTCGCCTCTTGGTACTTGTTCTTTCTCTGAAACGAATCGCAACGAATGCAGGTCAGCCCTGATCAATTCTAATCGACGGTTCATCCTCGTTACGAACGTTTGTGCCGGGCAATGAGAATATTCTCGCGGGAACCAACCGAGTTTTAATCCTGACGCGTGGGATCGTATGACTCGACGAGCTTGTTCAATGTGAACACGACACGAGAACCTCCGTCACGCTGCGGAAACCATGAAACACGTTTTTGTCGGACTATTTTATCATTTTTTCTATGCCTTTTGTCTTTTTCGAAGCTCGAAACGATTGTCCGTTCCGAAAATCTAATGCAATGTGTTTTACAATATTGATAAAATAGAAAATTGAATTTATGATAATGCATCAAATAGGGATTGGGGAAACAAATACCATGTGATCGTGAAAGTACTGCTGTTTCTCGTGACGTTGGATGCTATCGATGAATCAGTTGAGCGTACGTAAAGTGGACTACTATGTATAAAAGTTTTCACGTAATTGTGAAGTTATTGTTCACTTTCTCTGTGTAACCGAAGAAAAATGTTAATTCGAATAGCAGACTGCGATAGAAAATATATCTGTGTTTAAGAAACTTTCTCATTCTTCGCCAGCATTCTTCAGATTTTTCGTTAATTAATTATCGCTTGATTTAGTTCATGTAAAATTATTTAACGGAGGAAATGTTTATACACCAGATCGTAAACATGTAATATTAATGTTAGGATAGTTTCGTTCATTAAAGAAAAAAAGATTTTTATAAAAATGAAATATTAAAGAAAAAAATGTAATTCACAATAATGACGGGTAGTTGATGAATTAAAAGAATTAGAAGTGATAATATGGTATGAAGGTAGTTCTAATTAACATTTTTGTACAATAAAAACATGGAACTACTGATATGGAAAGCCTAGTATGCTACGAGTTCAACGGTCGATTAAACGAATCAGCAGAAACACGTACAATGTTTCATCCCGAAAACAAACACATTAGATACGTGAAACGCGCTGACAGGACTCGCGTTGTCCGATTCAGCGGACGTGTAAACGTGCTCGTAACACTCGCAGCGCCTAATTCGTTAGGCTTGTTTACACGACCAGCAGCATTGAAAAGGTCAAATCACTCTTTCGTGTGGACTCGACAAATGAGTAGGAAACAGTGCGCTTCTGGATTCTATTTTCGTGAACCGCGCGACCTTTGATGCTGATGATTTCAATTCCGACCGGAAGTGTATAGTGTATGCCGTGGGTCTAGGAAGGTTCTAAAATTAACGTAACGGCGCGTGATGTTTCGAAGTCGTATGAATGAAATCATACGCTTTATTCGATGCAAAGATGAGGAAGGAGATATGACGAAGATCAAGAGGAGAAGTAGAGAGAGAAAATGGAAGAAGAGCAAAAGAAGAACAAGAAGGAGGAGAGAAGATACAAAATGTTCAATGAAGAAACTCTGCGAAAAAAGCTGAAGCGGAGGAAGAAGAGCAGAAGAAAAATAAATCAAAAGAAGGGAGATGGCAACATAGGTGAAAACAATGACTTAACTAACTGTGTTCGATCAGAATGGAACGAAATATAATCTGATCTCAAATTACTGGCAATAATTAAAATGCAATAATCGATTCCATTAAAAACTAATTTTCCTATGGATAAGGATAACAATAACCAAGATAAAGAAAAGCGACGGAATGGAAGACAACCGTTGGAAGAAGTATAATAAAGAGGAAGAAAGCAACACAGATGAAGAATAAAAATAGAACATAAGAAAAATAAGAATAGGTAAGAGAGGAGGAAGTACATACAAAGTCAAGAACGCAAGTAGTTTTCAACGAGGGAACTCCACAGAGAAAATTGAAGTGGACAAAGAAAAATGAACGAATTAAAAAAAATCAAGAGGAACAGAGACAAGAATGCAAGCCCCCAGTATTCAGCAAAGGCACTTCCCAAGTAAAATTGAAGTGAAAGAGAAAACTAGAAAAAGGATAAGGAAAAGAGGAGAGGAAGTCTAGACAAACACAAGGACACAAGGACGCAAGTGACCAGTGTTCAACCAGGGAACACTACAAGGAAGATTGAAGTAGATAAAGAAAAATGAGAGAATCGAGAAAAGCAAGAGGAGCAGAGGCAAGGATGCAAGCAATCAGTGTTCAACAAGGGGACTCCCCAAGGAAAATCGAAGTGAAGGATAAAGACCAGGAAAAGGATAAGAAAAGAAGAAAGAGGGAACCTAGACGAAGGCAAGGACGCAAGTGACCAGTGTTCAACGAGGGAACTCCACGACGAAAATCGATAGACTGCGCGAGCGTTGAGTACAAGCTCGAGGTTTGAGATTCGCGAAGGTAGGGAGGCGAGTAGGCAGGGTCAGGCGGCGGCGACAGCGGTGGCGGTGGCGGTGGTAGCTCAAAAGTCGAATCGTAACCCAGGCTTGGCCTTGATTTCTATTGTGTACCTTGTTCACTTCCTTCTCGATGAGCTTGTATTTTTTGCTACGCGCGAGCTTTTCGGGCGGAGCGTTCGCCACCTCTAGCTTGGTGCGCTGTTGCTCCGCAACCCGGAGCTTCGTTTCCGCTTGCCTCGACTCCGCTTGGTAAGCCTGGTACGTTTTCATCGTGGTGTGGAGCTCGTGCAGCACTCGGAGTATTTCCTCGTGGGTCTCATAACCTATTTCACGGCACTGAAAAACGATCGGAAAATCCGTTTATTTTTCTGTGCGGTATACTTTGCGATGAGATGATCGCAGGTTATAGAATATTGCTTACAAGTTTCGAGAATGTATTTTTAGGTAATTGTAGACTGCTCGTGTTTAGGATAAATACACTTGTTTTGTGCGTTGGCTTAAGTCACGGGTAGAAATATAAATAGTTGTTATCGGTGTGACAAAATGGTAACGTAGTTTCGAAATTTCTCTTTTATCGATTCGAAATTGTTGGAAAGTTTAATTCGATTATATTTAATATCCTGTGGTTTTACTTTATGGATATTTCGTAAAATTAACTGCTATCAGTTTTCCTACGCAATTGAAATATTACTGGCAATACAAATTAAGTTACAAGATATTAAAATACAATGTAATATTTTTCTTTATACGTTGAATATTTGTTTAAATAATGTGCTATTATTTTTACCTATTAACAAATTACTTCAAGACTTTATTATTTATTATTATTACGTTTATTTATGATTATTTCTTATGATGACTAGATTTATTTCAGGAACAATACACAGTATCAATTGTAGGGAAAATTCTAATTTTTGCTACCACGAAATTGCATTTTTTGGTTCGCGATGATATGGTTATAAACAGCACTGGGGACAAATTTGCAATTGTTTTATTTGCTGACGGCGGGCTTTGGTTTTTTTTTAGAAGGAAATAAAGAGCGTCGATTATGAGCCAGTCAGATGGAACGAAAGCCCTATGATATGGTGGGGATGACGATACCATCGTGAGGGGGTCGACAAAGTGCAATTACAAGGGGGAATACTGTATTGGGTTGAGTGATCAATTCGTTCACTTTATTACGTGTTGTGCTGCACTAAGAACTTTTACCAGACAGTCAATTGCCACAAATTTTATTTCGAATTAAAATACTTAGAAGCAATGATAGGAATTAAATGATCATCGTTACTGTTAAAACGACATATTTAATATTAGATCGCACTCATTTTATAATAGAACAAGAGTTATTGCGATTTAAAACACATAAAATATTTCTAACCCTTTAGAACTTAAATAAAATTAACGAATACAAATGTTAATAAAACTTATAGTTTTAAGTTACAATCAAATATTCTTGTCCTAACATTAATTGTTAATCTTTCAAGCAAGTGCAGACATAGGGTACCTATGGAATTCTCCCTTTAATAATAAATTATTAACAATAAAGCAGTTCCAATAAGTGCAAAAGTATATTTGTCGTGTATGACAAAGAGTTAATGGGATTTATTTAGCAGTAATTTAAATCAAAAGCAACAGAGATTGCACGTTGCTCACAAAATTCTTTAACACTAGAATTACAAGTGTAACTACTAATATTTAAAATAAGTAATTAAAAGATAGGAGGATTAAATACCAATCGTTTTTACTAGCACGATAGTTCTAATGCCAATTAACCAGTTAACTGCGGTTGACGAGTATACGCGCATCTTAAAGCTTGAAATGATACTAATTCTTTCAGCGATGAATTATTTATTTTTTCAGATAAGCATATAGGTCTTCTTTGTCTTGCTCTGGTTTTTCATTAAAGTATACCCCACATTCATTCGTCCTGCGTTTGAGAAGTACACACTTTATTTTTTTATTTTATTGAGAGATTTTTCAAACTAAATTTTATAATTAACAGATTAAAGAAAAACGAGGCTTTCACGGAGATGAAAGGAGCAACTAATCCACGAGGCACACAAACTAACGGGATAAATCGTCGTAAAATCATATACGAAATGAGCAAGCAGCAATTAGACTGTGGATTTTATGCGTTCACATGCAGCGTGCATGCAGATTTTGTGATTCTCCCTTGAACTTTCGCGAGAGTTTCGCTGCGGTAGTTAACTTCGACAACGAGTACTCGATCGCAGTTACGAGTCGGGGAGCAAAACAAACGCTATGGAAACCTAGGCAGCCATAGGCGCGACGTTGACAATTGAAAGGGGAATTGCAGTCGAAGTGAATGTTCTGAAATGTACAGTGCGGTATACGGTTACAAAATTCAGGGACACGGATACCTGTAGCGGTAAGCAGAGACCAGGACTCCCAAAGAAATCTACAGGTGCTGACGATTGACGTATCGAATAACCGAGTAAACGAAGAAGGTGCGGCGGAAACTGTAGCAGTTTCCTTTAACCCTTTGTGAACAAAAGTTTTTTTTTCGAAAAGCTTCCCCGTAAAAAGCGAAATTATTACAGACCGAACTTTTGAAAACTGAGGAAAGAAGAATTATGTATTGACTTTCTGTTGCTTAACACTGGAACTACCGTAACCATCAAAATAACGAGTTTTAGTTTTCTTTCTTTGCAGTTATTGATATTTTGAAAGTATTGAATATTCAGAATTACAATGAAAATAAATGGTTTCACTTAAATACTATAACACATATCAAAAGAAAACGGAAAAAATGTATTGTTACAATCTTTATAAGGATTACATATCAATAAATGCTCGGTAGCTCTAGTGTTAAGCAATTAAATGATACGTTTGCTGGTACAATATGCTGATAAATATTTATTTCCCTCTTAATGAGGGACTGTTTTCTAGTTATTAATATTCGACTTTTAGATTTCCTTCTCTGTCTAAGGAATTATTTACGGGAAAGTAGTTGTAATGAATGTAGCTGCGAAATAAATAACAAGGCAAGGAGAGTTCATTCTATAAAGTCTGGCCTTTGTGACGACGTAGAAAACAATCGAGGAAATTTGCATACTTTAAAGTTTAATCTGCTGGCAATCTCTGAGATTATTATGTGTACTTTCCTTTTTATTAACGTGTTTCAGTCGACTCAAACCGGTATCTTCTATTTACGAGAATCGATGTTTGATTTCACGGTTGAGTAAAAGAGTTAGTGCTCGTACAGCAAGAACAATAGTATTTCTTAGGACTTCAACTAACGAGTCTATTAAAAAGTCTATTAATAAATTTCTCAATATCTTCTCAAAGGACTCTTCACTCACGATTGCCATATTTATTGCTACTGAAAGATCG